CATCCTCATGCGCCGCGACCTGTCCCACTGCGGCGACCAGCTGTTCTGCCACGACGACCTGTCGGCCCGCCTCTGGACCGTGCGCGCCGGCTACAGCCTCTACGAGTTCCTCTTCTGGTGCGCCCTGGGCCCCTGGCAGGCGGCAGCTGCCATCCAGCAGAGGAACCTGCACACTGGGAGTAGGCTGGTGGGCAGGGTGCATGTGAGCGCCCAGCGTGGGTGTGCGTTCCCGCCTGGCTGCAGGCAGAACAACGGCGGGGTGGTGAAGCCATGGAACGAGATGCTGCTGCTGCACAACACGGTCGTGTTTATGATGGCCATCGCTTCGCTGGTGAGCTGAGCTGGCACCACCCGGCTTGGGTGCACTGTAGCACGGTGCAGACTGAAACACCGCCCCTAGCCCTCCCATCTGGCCCACCCCCATGTGCCCCCACCCATGCCCCCCCCTGCAGCTGTACCCCTGCCGCCTGTCGCTCATCCTGCTGCCGCTGCAGCAGCTGTTCCAGGCGGCGGTGCTGGTAGACTGCGTGCGCCGCTTCCTCTCCATCTACGGCACCCCCTGGCACATCCGGTTCAAGGCATACCTGGCCTTCATCGCCGCGTTTGCCGCCAAGGCGGCTGGCGCCGCGCTGCTGGCGGCCTATGCCTTTTGGTGGATCCGCAGCCACTCGCTGTGGACGCTGCAGCTGCCCGAGGGCATGAGCTCGCTGAACCAGGTGTACGGCATGGTGTTCCTGGCGGGCAGCACCATACTGGCCATGGTTTACATCAAGTGGTGCGGCGCCGCGGTGGAGGTGGGTAGCCAGCCGCCTGGTGCTCGGTGCCTAGCATCTGGCATGGAGGCGTGGCGGTCTGCCGCGGCCGGGCTCTCTTCGAGGTGGCATCGCGGGGCAGTGGCAGGGATGGGCAGACGTATGGGCGCTCCCTCCCAACCTCCTGCCTGCCCTTCCCGGTGCGCCCACACTGCAGATGACCAACCGGCTGGTGAGCGAGGTGCAGAGCAGGAACAGGGCGGCGGCGGACGTGGTGGCGGGCGCCAAGGCGACCAAGGCACCAAGTGGCAACCGCAAAAAAGAGCGACAGCGCCGATGAGCTCTGGGGACCGCACGACGCACAGCGTACCTGCCGTCACTCCCCACCTGCCAGAGCATACCACGCCTGACAATATTTTCCTGCCCATGTGGAACGAAACAGAATCCACACCCAGCACCTCAGCCAGCTGACCCTACAGGAGCAAACTATTGTGTGCATTGAGCTGGGCCACACGACTGACACAGGCCTCCCCGACGAGATGAGGGCCAAGCTGGTGCAGCACGCTGCCTGGCTATCCCATCTTGTGGATCAGGGCTGGCTGGTGCATTCCTACCCTGTGGGGGTGTCGCACTCAGGGCTGGTCACTGATACCTACGGCGGCTGCTGCGCTGGCCCAGTGCGGGGTCGGCGCCCGCAGCACCACCCACACGGTAGCAAACATTGTTCGGCACACGCTTGAGTACAACTGCAAGTTCAAGAATGCACGAAAGAAACTCACCTCCCGGCTTCAATATCAGGTAGACCCCGGTTAGACTGCTGAATGGTGGGGAGGGTCGGGCGGGCGGACTGAGCGCGCTGCGGCGCTTTGTCAGCCTGTCGGCGCATCTCCCAAGTCACCCACGTGGACTTCTTCGTCTGCCCTCCTCCTCCCCCTGACTGCTTTCCGAGGTGGTTCTGCATCCAGGCAGGCCTGCGCGCACGATTCTTTTTCTTCAAGTTCTGCTCTGGAGGCTCCACACTACCATGCTGCTCGCGGTGGGCCCCACCATTCGCGGCGCGGTGTCCACGCGCCAGTGCCCGCGCGCCCCGGGGCATGCCAGGGCGTCCGGCCCCGGACACTGCAGGGCGGCGGTGGCGGGCGGGCCAAGTGGGCGGCGCGAGCTCTGGGCAGCCTGCCACATCGCAGAACTACATCGCAGATGGCATACCCGCGAAAATGCAGCGCTGGGGCACCTTTGCCGTGTCTGCGGGGCCTGATCAGGCCCTGTGCCGCCAGCTTGCTTTTTGGACCAGCTTCCAGAGACCGCTGAGAAGCTGACG